ATGTTGGTTATAATCCGCAGTTTCTTATGCAAGTACCTAATTGTATTATATCAAAAAATAGCTGAAAACAGCCTAATACAATGAATAAAGTGTACCAACTTTCAAGTTGCCAATCTAATAGTAGGAAATGAGTGTTTAGACGAGTTGTTTTATGTTCAGAGGTAAATTTCCTTTCTAAAAGATACCTATTTTAGTATACTATTGTAATTAAATCATCAATTTCATTCAATCAACCAAGTTTTGATATTATTTGATGCTGAACCTTTTTACTGCCTTGATTCCCATGCTCGATTTCCCCAATCATCATTTTTAACGAAGAAAATAGAATAGAAAAGTTTTTTGAAGAAGCGAAATGACTTGAAGAAGACTTTTGTTGGCAAATTGCTGGCAAATTGCTGACAAATTGCTGGCAAATTGACATTTCGGTGCGATCAATCGAACAGCAACAACAAAACGCCGTTGAAGAGTGAATGTTTTGAACAAATTTTTTATAGAATCAAGTTAAATAGCTAAACGAGAGCTTAAAATGCGTTCTAAACCCAAAATCTTCAGAAAAAACAAAAAACATAGGTCCTGGCCGGGATCGAACCGGCGACCTTGCCCGTGTGAAGGGCACGTGATAACCACTACACCACAGGACCGCTTGGTCGCAGGCTTGGTAAGGTCTTTTCAAAGGTCCATCCTGCCTCTGTCTTTAATAGTTGCTTAAATAGCTAAAAGCTTTTCTTTTTCACGTTCTAGACTCAAACCCAGTTTAGATTCAGGTTTAGCTACCCAAATAGTACTCACCTGTTCACACTTTTTTTTTCAAGAATTTCTGTTAAACTGAGCTTTTAATTCACCTGCTATTTGATCAATCTTTTGCCATTTTAAGATCATTTTCTCATAAAGTTTACTGGAGAACAAAAAAAAGACACGATTTGCTTCAAAAACAACCTGGAATTACCAGATTTTTCACTGGTTGTAGCCCTGAAAAAGTGAGCAAAACTGAAAAAGTTCTAAAATTTTGTTTTGGTTTTCAAATTTGGAAAGTTCTGAAGGAACAGGGAACTTTTAGAGTCTAAAAGAGTAAAGAAAAGGTGTTGGATTGAGCAAAAATGATTGTTTAGGGTTAGATTATTGTTAAATTCGCCACCTAAATTGAGTTTGATCCATGTAGATTTGATAGAAAGCTACAATAATTCTATTAATGTTTTTGGAGAATAAGATGAGCATTATATTGGGTTGGTGAATTGAAAACTGCCGGAAAACTGCGGGACTTTGAACTAAAATTTATCCAACATAAAACCATGAATCCATTCCAAATAATTTCCATTATTATTGACGACTTGTGCCCATTTTACAGGCAATTTGCGGATTCCTCTTTTGTAGTAGGATTTTGGTTTGTGTGTGAGACAAGTGTGAGACTCAAAAATGGAGGACTGGAGATGTCAGCTGTCAGCCCAGTTTGAGCACTTTCTTCCAAAGAAACCCATTTTGGTGTCAATAGAAAAGTTGTAGAGAATCAAAAGTTAGGTTTATAGCCAAATTTCCAAAAAGATACACTTAGTAGTTTCGCTTAAAATGCAAGTTTTGTGAAAATTCGTAAATTTGGCATTTCTTGAAAACCAGTTTTTGAATCGTTCTGGAAATTTGGATATAAGCTTGATTTTTAATTCTCTACAACTTTTCCATTGACACCAAAATGGGTTTCTTTTGAAGAAAGTGCTCAAACTGTCACATATGACAATAGCCGGCAGTTTTCTATTCACCAACCCAATATTTATTGATTTAAAAAGACTCAGAGCCAGTTCAGTCAAAATTCTTTTCTTGATGAAAAGCGGAAAAGTGAATGCAGTGAATGGGAATGATTGAGGATGATTGAGGATGACCCCATCGAATCAAAAAAAGAAGAAAAACAGGATCTTCTCTAAAATACCTGCCAAATGATTGCTTTAGACTTTCAAAGAATTCAAGTCATCTTTTGGATTTTCCTTTTGAATTTACACAACCTGGAAATCAATCTCAAAGCTTGGTAAGGCTTGGTAAGGTCAAAAATCAATCTCAAGCCAAGTCTAACTACAACTTGAACTCTATTTTCATCTCAAAACTTCTACAACATCTTTATTATCTTGTTTCAATCTCAAATCTCTAGAAATATCTATTTATAAATCTATTTTTGGATCGTTTCCCAAAGTTTTCTTTTCAAAAAAAAGCCCATAACCTTTGTTGATCTGCATTGACTATTTTTGGAGAAAAGAAAGCAAAACACTCATCATTTCACAACAAAACTGAGAAGATCGATTGTTTTCTTGATCATAAAATGGATAGACAATGATTTTATTGACTATTGGAACTGTATTGGAATTGTATTGGAATTGTATTGGAATTGTATTGGAACTGTATTGGAACTGTATTGGAATTGTATTGGAACTGTATTGGAATTGTATTGGAATTGTATTGGAACTGTATTGGAATTGTATTGGAATTGTATTGGAACTGTATTGGAACTGTATTGGAATGTATTGGAACGTATTGGAATGTATTGGATGTATTGGAACTGTATTGGAACTGTATTGGAATTGTATTGGAACTGTATTGGAATTGTATTGGAATTGTATTGGAACTGTATTGGAACTGTATTCGAACCGTATTCGAACCGTCTTGGAACCGTATTGGAACCGTATTCGAACCGTATTGGAACCGCATTGGAACTGTATTGGAACTGTATTGGAACTGTATTGGAACCGTATTGGAACTGTATTGGAACTGTATTGGAACCGTATTGGAACTGTATTGGAACTGTATTGGAACCGTATTGGAACTGTATTGGAACTGTATTGGAACCGTATTCGAACCGTATTCGAACCGTATTGGAACTGTATTGGAACTGTATTGGAACCGTATTGGAACCGTATTAGATCAAAATAGGAACCGTATCTTCATTTTATTTCATTGGAAAAATTTATCCAAAATTTGTAAATATTGCAAGAATTGTATTGTTAAATATTCATTAAATATCTATTTTCTTAAACCCTATCAACTTATCAACATCAAGTCATCAAGAATCAAGTTCTTTGTTCACTTTCAACAACATACATTCACTTTCACCGAGAAAAGTGAATGAAACGTCTAAAGAAACCAATTTGCCGATGTTTCCTCTCTAAAGTATGAGACAAGGCTTTTAGGGACTGGAAATAAAGGAAAAGAACAGGATGGGGATGGGAAAAAGCTTTGGCAGAGTCTGGTTTCTCTCTCCCATGCTCTCTCTTGAGTTATTGGTGGAGTCACCGATGGCCTTTCCATTTTCCATAAACCTAGCCTAACCTATAAATTGAATCTCATTGTTGGTGCTCAGGCTTTGTCTTTTGTCTTCTTAAGCCTTTTGCTATCTTTAGCACTTTGGGGATCTTGGATTTTGAGCTTTAGAGAGTCAAATTAGCGTTCAATTTCTCAAATCAATACCAAGTTTTTACTGTTATCTCACTTTTGAGTCATTTGTTGAGCTTTGTTAAGCTTTGTTAAGCTTTGTTAAGCTTTGTTGAGCTTTGTTGAGCTTTGTTGAGCTTTACAAAAGAGCCAACCCCTCGCTTTAGTTCTCTATTTATCTTCTTCAAGTAATGCAAAATAAAAAGCTTATTTTTACCGAAACTTGCGATGGTTCAATGATTCTTTTGAATAGAAAAGAAGACTCTTTTCTTCCACTCACCCGCACTCACCCGCACTTTACCGTGCACCGAACTCCTCACAAAACACACAATGGCTACTTGGCATTCCGTATGTGAAAGCATCGGTTGTTCTCAAAAAGTTTTCTTTGATCTTTTTCTTTCAAGATCAAAATATTGTTAGGAACATTTCCAGCTAATTGTAAGAGCTATGGTTTATTTCTTGATATCTTTACTTTGAGAACCAGTACTCTAGCTCTTATAGCTCTCAAAACTTCAAAAAAGCAATAGCTAGCAATAGCTAACAATAGCTAACAATAGCTAGCAATAGCTAGCTTATGTTAAAGCTAAGCCAAAGCAATAGCTAGCTTGGCTAGACTTGACTCATCTTTTTTGCCAATTTTATTTGTTAATCCTTTGATTAGTTGCTTGTCTACATCCACTTTTTAACTAATTCCCCGTCAAAGACAATGGAATGTAGAGAAAAGTTGACTGGATGGATTGTTGGGGAAAAAGGGGATAGTCAGGAGAACCAGATCCATGCGGTGATGGCTATTGGGTGGATTGGGGGATTGGGGGATCGCCGGGGAATGAAGAATGAAGGAAGGAGAGGGATAACCCCCGACCCTCACAGTCATATCCCTTTCCAAGACTCTCTTTTCAAAGACGGATCTTCATTCTCGCAGATCATTCTCATCGCATTCTCAATTATATCATGTATCATCTCATTTCATTTCATTGCCATGTTTCTCCATTTATCACTGTGTAATCGAGCCGAATTTGAACTCAATTCGAATTCGAGCTTTGAACCGTTGAGTGCATTTCTTTGAATAAGTCAAGGATTAACCTAGATCTCTTTTTTGAACAAATCTATTGTATTGATTGTTTTCAAAATCTTAAAGAATAGCTCTAGCTCTAGCTCTGGCTCTAGCTCTAACTCTAGCTCTAGCTCTAGCACTCTAGCAAAAGTTGGGGTCAAAATTTACATATCCTGTTAGATAAACGTTTCTCCAAGAACCTTTTCTGTCTTTTTCTGTTCTTTTTCCCTAAAATCTCCCGTCACTCATCCAAATTTTCCACTCTTTTTCCGTTTTTTTTTCCTTTTCGAATACCTGAAACCGGATCGAAAAAAGAGAAAGAGAGCTTCCCTTTTCTTTTATTTTTATAAAATATCTTCACGGCAACTCTTTTCTCACTTTTGACCATGCCAAGTTTTCAAATTAAATTTCAACTTTTCTACAAACTTTAAAATTACAGTGATCTTTTTTTTTACCTAAATAAACCTTTAGTTTGAATGTCTAAGAAACAAACGAGCGGGTAAACGGTTGCAAAAGACGGGTCACTGATTCCTCAACAATGCCTACTAATGGCATTAATCCAAGCGAGTTCTACACGACGAAAAAAGTCTCTTTCCAATGCTCAAGCAGTTCTAGTGACGAAGGTGCATCAACGATTGAAAAAGTGACTCAAGAAGGTCGAGTTTGATAGGCTAAGCCAGCTAAATCTCAGCTAAGCCAGCTTTCAATTTCGTGGTTAAATTTCCAATCGTGGTTAAAGTGGCGAATTTGGTAGACTGGCTAGCAGAAACGAATCAATGAATCAACCAATGATAGCTTATTCAACACTTTCCATTTTAGATCAACATCCCTATCGAGCAGTGCCGTTATCAACAAAAAATGTGCTCTTTATGACGATCGGGATGACAATTTATTCACTTGTTTATCTTTTCCCTGCACAAAACGATAAATTACTCTTCTACCTTATGACCGGGTTTGTAAAAGAGCTTTTAAAGTTCAAAAACTTTAGTTTATTAGATTGATAGTGATTTTCGTGATGTTCATCTATGCATTTGGGTTTTTGGCTGTCATTTTTATGGTCACTGATCCTTATTCAAAAGTGATACCGGTTGGTGATTATTTGGAATGGTTTTTGTTGAATTTGGAATGATTTTTGTTGCTTTAATTCTTGATATAACAATAGAAATTGTTATATCAAGCTTTCAGGTCATTTATTATCTTTAGACAAAGCTTTAAAATGAATTTCTTCATTCAAATGAATCATTCAAAAATTAGCAACAAAAAAATCACTTCTAAAATAACTATTACTTTGGGTTGGTGAATTGAAAACTGCCGACTATTGTCATATATGACAGTTTGAGCACTTTCTTCAAAAGAAACCCATTTTGGTGTCAATGGAAAAGTTGTAGAGAATCAAAAATCAAGCTTATATCCAAATTTCCAGAACGATTCAAAAACTGGTTTTCAAGAAATGCCAAATTTACGAATTTTCACAAAACTTGCACAAAACTTGCATTTTAAGCGAAACTACTAAGTGTATCTTTTTGGAAATTTGGCTATAAGCCTAATTTTTGATTCTCTACAACTTTTCTATTGATACCAAAATGGGTTTCTTTTGAAGAAAGTGCTTAAATGCTCAAACTGGGACATCTCCATTCCTCCATTTTTGAGTCTCACACTTGTCTCACACACAAACCAAAATCCGCAAATTGCCTGTAAAATGGGCACAAGTCGTCAAGAATACTGGAAATTATTTGGAATGAATTCATGGTTTTATGTTCAATAAATTTTAGTTCAAAGTCCCGGAGTTTTCAATTCACTAACCCAATAGTTTTAAGCAGTCATCTTTTCAATTGATTTCTTTACAGATTGAAGTCTTTGAATGCTCAAACAACAACGATTCCAGCCAACAATTCGATCATTTTTCCGAAGAAAGTGAAGAAGTTTCTGTTTGAGTTTTAAACTGTTGAAAAGTTTCAATTTAAATTTAAATTTAACTTTCAATTTTTGAACAATTCACGTCTTTTCATCTGTAGCTTCATTTCCTTCATCAGTAGCTTCATTTCCTTCATCAGTAGCTTCATTTCCTTCATCTGTAGCTTCATTTCCTTGATCTGTAGCTTCATTTCCTTCATCTGTAGCTTCATTTCCTTGATCTGTAGTTTCATTTCCTTCATCTGTAGCTTCATTTTCTTCATCTGTAACTTCATTTCCTTCATCTGTACCTTCATTTCCTTGATCTGTAGCTTCATTTCCTTGATCTGTAGTTTCATTTCCTTCATCTGTAGCTTCATTTCCTTCATCTGTAGCTTCTTTCCTTCATCTGTAGCTTCATTTCCGTACGGGTCTCTTTAAGAAGCTCATTCATTTCAAAAGTCTTTCAATAAAAATTTATTCGAAAAACCGATAGACACTTGAAAGTTCTATAGAAAAGTTGAAAATTAAAAGAAAAAAAAGAACTGAAATGCATAAATACCCATATCGATCAGGGATCACAAAGAGAAGAGAGGAAATGAAATTTCGGAATTATTTTTATTGAGTAATAAACGAATAGAATTGAAATGGTGAAGAGTTTAAATGAAAAGAGAAAGTATTTATGAACTTTGGCCTTTAAACAATCCCTAGAAAGCTGATAAATCCCTAGAAACTCAATCATTCCGTTAAAATCGAATAGTTTGCATTGGAGTCATGATCTGGTGGTAGCTCTTCATCCACAAAGATCAATCGCCCTTGTACCGCTCGCCAATATTGTGTGTGCATGTAGGGTTTGTCTTGTTGCTGGAATTACGTTTAATAAAAAGAGAAACATTTCAAATTGTTAGTAAAAGTTGATTAAATGAACTTAAAGATGGGTATCACTTGAATTTGAGTAAAAGAAATGAGTGAGAAATGAGTGAGAAATGAAATCTTCACACTTTCAATACCGGGCTGAATCTCGGCAATTTATAGCTGTTGATTGGAAGAATTTGAAGGTTCGGTTTCTGCATTTTTAAAGGTTTTGTGAATTTTTTGACAAGATCAAACAAAAAACAATGAACTAACTTTAGAATTAACTCTAGACTTCACTTTCTTTCTTACCCGCAAAGTTGCCAACTCTCCAGCTTCAACACGAATCGCATTATCAACGAATTGCTCAAGATCCAGATTGGCTAACTGAAAAGTTCGATTTAGAAGAGATTTATCATCTAAACAAGATCAAAACCTGATCAATGTCGACGTTGAACTGATCGCCGAGGTTTCGCACGAGTTGTTTCATCGTCAATCTGAACGAATTCTTCATTTAAGAATGTCTAAGACAATGTTTTCCAATTCTAGTTCAATTGTAATCAATTCAAACAAACAATCAATTCAATTGCAAGCAAAATAACCATCTCTAATCAATCACTTACTGTTGTCCGCCGAACCAGATCTTCACATTGCTCACTTTGTCCAATTTCCTTCCAAAATAATGCAATTTCTTTAGATAATCAGCAGCAATCTCTAAAAAACTACTGTTTTATTACAAATTTGACTCGTTAACTACCGTAAATACTGTAATAGTACCCCATCCCCATAATGACGGAGCGGAGCGTTACGTAGTCTAGCTTTGAACGAGTTTTTCTCGACACTGGTTTATGCTACAATGCTCGCTTAGGTATCAAAAATAGCTGAGATTCAGGGCTATTTTTTGATACCAAAGTGTACATTGTAGCATAAAGCAGCGCAGAGAACGGGATGTTTAAAGTTAGACTACGAAACCATCCCCAAAAAAACGCGTTTTTCTCGACACTGGTTTATGCTACAATGCTCGTTTAGATATCAAAAAATAGCCCTGAGATTCAGGGCTATTTTTTGATACCAAAGACGCGTTTTTTGAAAGTACGGGTGCTTTGCAAAAAATGAAATACTAAAAAACTTTTGCGACTACGCGACTGTACGAGGGGGGTGGGGTCCAATTACAGTATTTACGATAGTTATTTTTATTTACCAATAGCTATTGTTGTTAATGCTAATCCAACAGCCACATAGACGAGCGTCACAATGAGATATTCTTTTCTTTGCGGCACCAGATCGCCCAAACCAATTGTTGTCAGTGTGACAAAGTTGAAATATATTGCCTGAATGTAGACAATTTGATTAATTTCTGGTTTGTTTTCATGAAAATCGATAAAACTTGAATCAAACTGTAGAAATTAAGCTCTAGATCAAGGATCATTTAGCTTTTAGGCTTCCAGAATGCTAGTTTAGCTGGAAAAGCTTTTATCTTCAACTCACCAAGAAGAAATCCATATCTTCTTCATAAGAAGATATCATAAAAGAGCCCAACACAATATAGATAACAAATGCAATGAAGAGCACAATAGCATCTACAAATTTTAGATTAAGTAAGCTCATCGCTCACTAACCAGTCATCGCATTCGGATCGTCGTCCTCTTCCTGCTCTTCCTCCTTTTTTTCTCGATCACCATCTTCTGACTCACTATCATTTACATTTTCATTGCTATCTGTGCCTTTGATCTAAACGAAATATAGAAATATAGAAATATCCAGAAATTGGCAAAAGTTTAGCCTCACTTTGCTGTAATTTGTGTCAACCATGACGTCTTTGTCTTTCGGGCGGCGAACTCGCAAACGGGCTCGACATCGTCTAGAAAGAATCAACCTTTTTCAAGATTTTCCATTTAGATTCTTTTAATTCAACTAACCAACCTGCAACAATGAATGAACGGTTTTATCCAGGCTTTAAGCAGAGAGGCGAAGAATTTCCCGAGATTCGCAATGGCCAACATCGTGAACGGGACTCCAACAAGGCCATAAAAGATCACAAAGAGGCGACCCTCAAATGTTTGCGGTGCCACATTTCCATAACCTAAAGTTTGTATAAAAAAAGTAATCCGTTTTCGAAAAAGTAGATAATTTGAAAAACTCTTGTACTCTTTTAGCTTTTATCATTTATCTATCTTTGTTACAAAAACAAGAAACATTTGAAACTTTTGAGAGCTTCAAAGCTTGATCTTTAGCTTCAAAGCTTGATCCTTAGCTTCAAAGCTTGATCCTTAGCTTCAAAGCTTGATCCTTAGCTTCAAAGCTTGATCCTTAGCTTCAAAGCTTTAGCTTCAAAGCTCGCTTCAAAGCTTTTAGCTTGATCTCAATCCAAGCTCACCAATCGTCGTGATCACAGTGAAACAAAAAACAATTGAGTCCATGAATGACCAGTATTCCCATTCAATGTCTTCGCCTTCTAAAAGTTACCAATTTTGATATAAACTCAAAGAATGTAAGCTAAGGTTTGAAATAAAACCAAAGTTTGCTTAGATTTCTTCCTGCTAACAATTGTAACTGAATCGGTAAACGAAATAAAAAGAGCTTGAAATCATATTGAAAAAGATTCTCTAATTTTACCTGTAAACTGGGCTTCTGCTTGAAAATCACGATCTTAAGGTGTTAGTTGATTTCTTTTTTGTTTTGAAACTACAGATTCTCAAAAACTGGACTTTTCTGGCTTTTCATCGATTTTTCAACGAACGTATGATAAGCTTTTACATAATAAGATTGATACTGTTAAAGTAAGAATATGCTAGATAGCTTTTTTTTTTAAAATATCACTGGCTCCACAGGTTCAGTGTTTCACTCACCAAATCTCACGCTGACGATCTCCACCGAGTGCCCTTGTGAGTAGTCACGTTCTCGCTCTGAAAGTTCGTTTTTGAAAAGAAACGGAAGAACTTTGGTCTTAAGCTTTAAATTTTACATTCTTCTACTGGGTTTTCTTTCATTCTAATCTCGAGCTTTTTGAAAATCGGGGCTGGAAGGCTTCACACTTTTTTCTGGGAGGTAATCAAATCACATGAGCGCCAAAAATAACTTCAAAACGTTCATTTCAACGCGACTAGATTTAGTCGAATATTTTTGCTTTTGCATATTTTTAGGGTTTTACTTCTGTTTTTACACTTTTCTTTCACTCATTTGACCTAGGATGCGGCAGTAGACACCAAATTCGCGGAAAAATTTGTTACATTAGGTTTAAGTAGTTTTCGTTTAGGTTTTACACGTATCTAAGGTTTTTTTTTGGTGAGAATGTGTAATTTTGCTAGTTTTGTGAAATCTTTCTCCAATAACGTTGCCATTTTCGCCTGTTTTTGCCATTTTCGTCTACAGTTTGCTTACAGTTAACATTTTTCTTTGTTTAGACTCGTGAATTGCGCAAGAAGCGGCGACACGACGCAATATCCTGGTCAAAGAGATAGTCAAAGCAAGGTAGTGTTTTATTCTTCATTTTCTAGGCGTTTTATCTGTTTTTATAATTGCATATTGTATTTTTTAGCTTCAGCTATTGGCAGAAATACATCCCCGCATCAAGGAGCTCTTCTCGACGCGTCTACTCATCGTAGCTGCTTCTATTTGACACAACAATTGAGTCAAAGAGCGAAGTAACGTTTTGTTCTTTAGTTTCCAGTCGTTATTTCTCTGTTCTAACTCGTGAATTGCGCAAGAAGCGAACGACAAAAAGGGACACGCGGAGTCAAATAGCAAAGTAACGTTTTGTTCGTTATGTATTTTGGTTTATTTTGTTGCAAAGAACTATTTTTTTATCTTTAAATGATCGCAATTTCACAATGAGCGAAAGGACTGATTTGTGACGATGAAATGTTCAAGTGTAAGAAGGATAAAGTACTAAAGAGCGGAAAAGTATCTTACGGATAAGATTTAATTACATTATGCTAAGTTTTAGCAAGTTAGACTCTTAATATAGATTACTTTAGGTGCACAAGATGCAAAAAACCGAGTGCACTACAATAATTGTCGATTGTCGATTGATTGTCGCAAAGATTTCTGGCACGATGCACAAATTTGTGGTTTACCACCCAATTGCGGTAAAGAGGTTAGTTGTTTGACATATAGATGTGATCCTAGATCATTTTTAGTTACGAGATTTCAAGTTCTATGTAAAACAAAGTCGCAAGGTCGGAATAGCAACAAAATAAATTATTCGAAGCAAAGTTTTAACGGCTCCCAGGCATGTACTACCATTTGTGAATCTTAGTAGTTTGAAGCAATTGGCTTGCCAAAAAGTAAAAGTCAAAGGATTGGCCTGCACCGATGGCGAGGATTAATGGCGCTAACCTTTGTAAAATCTTGTGATGTTCGGAAGTATTTCGGGGTCTTGCAACATGAAGCCTACATCAATTTGCCAAACTTTGTCAACGAGTTGCGAGGTAAATTTTATAGAATATGAATAGATAACTTACTATTTTTAGTTTCGTTTTCGTTTTCGAAAATAGCTATGTCGGAAAAGTGGTTATGAATCATTATGTTTTACCACTTCACCCCATTGAAAACTGGAATTCATTTGGCGCTGTTATGAGAGATGAACAAATTTGATCGTCTTCGCAAGGAGGTTATGACACCAAATTGAAGGTATCTCTTTTAAAAAATCTTTTTACATCTTGTTTATTAGGAAAGCACATCGAAATGTTCGGCACAATTTGTGGCAATGAAGTTTTTGGAGGCAATGAAGTTGTTAAAGTACGAGAAGATGTTTGTTCTTGTCGCACAGAAGCAATATCTTTCTGCAATAGCAATATCCCCAACTCTCTTCACAGTCATCACGAATTCGAACTGCTCATCAACGGCGGAAGCTGGTGATTAAAAATGGACCGATGGGAAAATCACGAAAATCAAAGGTTTGCTGTGTTTGTTTTGCTTTTACGCATTTGTTGTTTATCGTGCGCATTTTGTTGCTCTTTTATGCTCATTTCGTTGTTATTGTTATTGCGTGTTAGCTAGTTAAATAAAGCCGCACTGAAATGAACGGTGCTCAATTTTTGGTACTCATGTGACTACCTCTCCTTTTTCTAGCCTTTTTGTTCTATCACTGACACGATCAAATTCTAAACATCATTTTTATTCTGCTTTTGAACAAACCCTGAACATATCATTATTTCCTTTCCAAAGTTTAAGCCCATCTTTAGAAGACAAATTTGCATGAGCGAGGCACTTGGAGACTCCCACTGGAACGGGTCTGTGGATCGAATTACCCTTCTATGTCTGGCCTACGTCCTTTTTAAGGTTTATGAAGGGTCAGTGATAGGTTTTGGCAAGAAATGAGAGGAAAGAGAGGAAATCCAAACCGCTTCTCTTTGGCTAATTCTTCGATATTGAGCGGGGTGACAAAGTAAACACACTTTGCTAGCATTTGGGGGGGAATCCCAAATTTCGATGGGTGTTTCAGTTATCAAAGTTCCACAAAGTTATCAAATTCCTTACAAAGACATCAGATTTTGATTGAAATCTAAAAAAAACTGAGGTCAGTGCCCCTGGGACTCTAGAGCTCCAAAGGGAGTTCCGAAATTTGGCTTGACGATCAAAAAGTGGAATGAAAAGTTGAGGAATTGGCAAATTATTGTTACTATGCAGTTATCAATACGAAAAATTGTTGAACTCAACAACAAACCCTTTTTATGCTCGTGTCGTATCCGGTGTTCTTGAAGCTTTTGCCCAGCCGTCACTCTCTTCGCTTCAATGTCCTCTCGATAGCATTCGTCCAAAAGCTTCACTCCACTTGCCTAAAATAGAAAGAGATCAGATATAGTAAGCTTAGGCGATAGTTTCAAAGTACAATAAGTAGGCAAACAAATCACAAGTATATCAGTTTAAAGTACTAAAGTCCAGACTTAATTTCTCAACTCACCGTGGGCATGAGATGTTCCGAGCAATTCGTCTCTTGCACGATCGCCTTCAACGCGGCGATCACACATCGTCGAGCTCGATTCACTGAAAAGTCGATTAACTTTATTTATTTCTAATCTTTACTTCCTTTCTTTCCCCTTTTTTGACAAGATTTGGTTGAGTGAGCTAAAAAGTTTCCTAACTAATCCCACTCATTACTCTTCAAGCATTATTTCCGTCAAAGCTTTCTTGTAGTTTTTGTCTTGCTTGAGGGCAGTTTGGTGATTTATAGGAATCTAGGATTTAGAGTTAAATCTTATTTATAAATTTTAGCCATCCTGACTTTATAGTACTTTATATTATTCAAGTTTAATACATTCAATGTACATTCAATGATTAAAAAATGTACTTTGTGAATTCCTATTTTCACAAAACCAAGAAAATTACGAATTTCTATTTTCACATTTCTCCAGGGAATGGCATATCAAAAAGCTCAAGAAATTCGAGATTTCTCCTCATTTTTTGCGATGAAAAGCTGTGAGCGGAAGGGGAAAGGAGATTGAAAAACAAATGAGACCTCCAAGATGGATGTTTCAATGGAAAAATGCTCAATTTTAAAGCGATTCGGAAAAAAAAATCTAACGCATCATGTAATCAAATCAAGAATGGGAGTTTTCTTGCAGTTTCGAACACTCAATTTTGAAGAAATCTAGCGCAAATTCACCTGAAAATTGTTTTGCACTTGATTAAGCTTTAGTTCGTGCTTTAGTTTGTGGTTAAGAATTAGCTAAAGTTCTGAATAATTCTTAGTTTTACAGTCAAACCGTATGAATTCGACTATTTTTAGTTAAAAATCTTTTCATTACTCACTCGGCTCTCGCTCAATCCAATAGCCTTGACGTTTCATCCGTGGCGTTATTGGAAACTGAAAATAGATGGAATTTTCTTGGTTTCTAAAAAAAACAAACAAATCAATCAATCAATTTGAATTCAATCAAACCTTGAATTTCAATATCCTTACCTCAATATCGAGTGTCCGATTTTTTGGAACAGCTTCGATATTTCGTATCGTGATCGCTCCGACCACACAGTACAATGCCACGGCAACAACCATGAAAAAGTGGAGGGCATAGGGAGCAAGCTGAAAGATAAAGCTGATAGAAAAGATACTGAAGGTAAATCTAGCCCTGCATTTCCTGTGCATTCCAATTCTTCAAAAAAACAAGTCAGATGTGATTGATTCTCATTCCTAGCTTTAGAACTCAGCTATTCTCAATAGTTACCAGTTGATTTTGATTAAATATCTTAATACTGATGGTAAATATAGCCCTGCATTTTCTGTGCATCCCAATTCTTCAGCCAAACAAGTCAGATGTGATTAATTCTCATTGCTAGCTTCAGAATTCAACCATTCTCAATAGTTATCCGTTGATTCTGATTAAATATCTTAATACTGATGGTAAATCAAGTCCTGCACTGTCTGTGCATCCCAATTCTTCAGCTGGCCAAGTCAAGTCTGGCCAATTCTCATTTCGAGCTTTAGAATTCAGCCATTCTCAATAGTTATCTGTTGACTCTAATTAAATATCCTAATACTGGTGGTAAATCTATCCCTGCACTTCCTGTGCATCCCAGTTCTTCAACCAAACAAGTCAGATCTGCTCAATTCTTATTCCTAGCTTCAGAATTTAACCATTTTCAATAGTTATCTGTTGACTCTAATTAAATATCCAAATACTGAATATAAATCTAGCCTTGCATTTCCTGTGCATCCCAATTCTTCAACCTAACAAGCCAGAACTGCTCAATTCTCATTTCTACTACGAAAAAGTGGAGGGCATAGGGAGGGAGCTGAAAGATAAAGCTGATAGAAAAGAATTTAGGTACCAAAGCGAATTTTCCCAATCTTCAATGCCTTAGTAAACCTTGGATTTGTCTTTCTTTGAACTCTAGCCCTAAAAGAAATGAGAACTCTAAAGAAAAGAATCTCTGGCTGTTTGGAAACGTCGACAAGTTACCTTTTTCAAATCGACTTTTCCCTTTTTGATAAAGGTTCCACGGTTTAGCACCATTTTTATTTAAGAAATGGTTACATTCATGTGAGTTTCGATGAAATTAGGGAAAGGGACATTTTATGGAGGTCTAGCAATAGATAGCTAGGTACAATGGTTGAAATAGAAAGAATTTTTAGCTTATAGCATTCAGTATCTGAATATTTGGAGTCAAAGGACTGAATAGAGTTTACGACAAGAATTTAAGGTCTAGATTTGAGTCTACACTGGGACAGTAGTTAGAAAAGTTCAGCTAATAGGCAGAGTATTGAAAATCCAGTAAAGAGTTTGGATTTAGCTCAAATTGGGCTTCAGAACCGATGTTCAGAACCGATGTTGGATTGCACAATGGGGGAAACTTTTAAGAACAAGTAGTAGTAGTGCTTAGGCTTGAATATGTATTCAAATGAATATAGTGGAGTGAATGGGTCAGGATCTTCACTTGGAAAGGGTAGGGGTGGGACAAATGACTGAGAATCCACGAGGGGACACCCTTTAAGGAAGGAGAAGAGCCACAAGAGTGAATAAGAGACTCAAGCACATCCTTTTTGGAATCTTTTTGAGTCTTTTCTCTCTCTTTGTCTCTCCATCTCTTCATCTTTTCATTGCAGCATTCGTTTCTTTGCCTTTTCTCATTTTTGACAGCGTTTTTTGAATGCTCAAAATGAAATTCCTTTGACTGGCATAGGTTAATAGTTAAAAAATTGAAAAATTGAAGTTTTCAATTCGAAGAATCAGTGACTTGCTCTCCAGAAAGCCTTTGGTTTCTGGAGGCTTTGCAAGTCACTGATTGTCACTGATTTATGATTGTTGAACGGTTTGATTCAGTTTCAGCTTTTTCCTTGAATCTACAGTATTCCTAAAAACAACCAAAAATAATTCATGACCCATTGTGAAGCTAAAGAAATGCAAATTTCCATTCAAATTTGACTGTAGAAGAAAAAAGAAGACATTAATCGTGACCTCATTAAAAATGCAGGCAATAATTTGTCAACAGAGAGGCATTTGGGAGGGCACAATGCTTGATCTTTGAAAGAAACTCGGAAATCATCAACAAATAAAAGATTTCACAGTAAACTACAAGTCTAATCTTGTTATTAAGGCAAAGATTTTCATCAAAACACACTGATTTCTTTTCTCACAAACCCGTTTGATATCCTTTTTCCCTTTGTTATGTCGTTGAGCCTGGATACAGTACATTGTGAAGTTTTAGCTATATAGAGGAATACGGGGAAATCGTTTAGAATCAAATTTTTATAGTAGAAATCAAGAAATTCAGGTAGAATTCATATTTTTGTTTAAATTTTGAAAATTTGATCTAAAGACCAAAAAAAACTGAGGTGAGGAAATGAGGGGGAAAAGGGGTAGAGTGGTGCTTGAATTTCTTGGTTTCTTTTAAAAAATGAACCAGTCAGAAATTGATGAATTTAGGAATAAAAAGAATATTTATTGTAGAATACTTCTTGTAGAATATTTATTGTAGAATACTTATTGCAGAATACTTATTGTAGAATACCTATTGTAGAATACCTATTGTAGAATACTTATTGTAGAATACTTATTGTTGAATACTTCTTGTAGAATACTTCTTGTAGAATACTTCTTGTAGAATACTTATTGTAGAATACTTATTGTAGAATATTATTGTAGATACTATTGAGAATACTATTAGTTTGCAGAATACTTTGGCTTGTAGATATTTATTTTATTGTAGTATTTATGTAGTATATGTGAAAGTTATTATAGAAAACTTATTGTAGAATACTTATTGCAAGTCCAAGACCAAGACAATAAGTCCTTCGCAACTTCGACACTTTTAAGCCCAATGGAATATGTGAGATAGTTCAAAATGAGATTCTGATTTGATCAGTTGCTGGTATACAATGCAAGGATGAGAATTTGATCTAAGGAATATTGCTTTCAAATCTAATCCCAAGCATATAAAGCTCTAGAGTTTTTGCTTGGAAATGAACCTAATCCTTCAAGGTTTTGAATCGAATGTTGACCCAATCGAAGAGTAACTTTTTGGTCAAATATAGATATTGTATTGTTAAGTAGTAGTTGAAGTTAGAATTTAAGAATATAAAGCTTAGTTCTTCTTAGCAAAAAAGTGAAAAGATCCGGGGAAAATCTCCCAATAATCGAGGTCAGATAGGGAAGGGAGGGAAACAAAGAGATGTGCCAATCTAGAAGATTTCAAAAAAGGGATATTTGACGTTAAAGCCCTTTTCCCATCCCGTGTCCTCACTTATTCGATGAGGGGAAAAGTCTGGAAGAAGAAAACAGAGCGACCCTGGGGAGAGCCACCGATTCATTCAGGGTTTTTGTCTTGCAAAGAACAGATCCATTCTTGTTTCCTCTGGGTTTTTTCTTGCTTGGAGACAGGATTCGATTATTTGGGTAAAGGAAAAAAAAAGCGAGTGGAACGGGGATGTAGGTACTTTTTGGGAACGCTTGATCTGGGTCCAGGTATAAATCTGAGTCTAAACGGAACTCCCATTCCTAACTTCAGAATTCAGCCATTCTCAATAGGTTATGCTGATTAAATATCTTAATACTGATGGTAGATTTAGTCCTGCACTTCCTGTGCATTCCAATTCTTAAGCCAAACAAGTCAGATCTGTCCAAATCCCATTGCTAGCTTCAGAATTCAGCCATTCTCAATAGCTATTAGTTGATTTTGACTAAATCTTTTGGTGCTGATGGTAGATCTAGTCCTGCACTTTCTTTGCCTCCCAGTTCTTCAAACAAACAAGTCAGATCTGCTCAATTCTCATTGCTAGCTTCAGAATTTAGCCATTCTCAATAGGTTATGCTGATTAAATATCTTAATACTGATGGTAAATCTAGTCTTGCACTTTCTGTGCATCCCAATTCTTCAGCCAAACAAGTCAGTTCTGCTCAATTCCCATTCCTAATTTCAGAATTCAGCCATTCTCAATAGCTATTAGTTGATTTTGATTAAATATCTTAATAATAATTAATATTTTAACCTAATGACCAAATTCCGGTTCGGATTCGGGTCTAGTTGCGGTTTCAATTCAAAATCCAGTTTCAATCACTTCCAGTTCCGATCCCAAGTCCAATGTTCTAGGTCGACTTAGGATTCAGGTCCAGGCCCAGATCCGCCCTAAGTCAAGGCCTACGTCCAGGTCCAAACCCAGGTCCAGACAGATCTAGTTCCAGGTTCCGGTCCAAGTTTAAATGGCCCAGTTTTTGGTCTAGATCTAGGTTTGGGTCTAACTATCAGACTAGGCCCAGGTCCAAGCATTAAAACGAGATTTTGAAAAATTCTATAGCTTTAACACATCATACTGATTTGAATTTCGAATCTAAACTTTAAAATAAGGTACTAATTGAGTACTAAACGAGTACTAAGGTTTACTAAGACTAAGTAGGTTTACTAAGTAAGCTTAATTTTTGCTTTTGATCAAACACTTTTTACAAGAGAACATTTCGAATACAACTTTACAACTTTACAACTTTACAACTTTATTTTTGTTCAATCAAAATGCTCTCTCATCTCATCCCCTTTGGGGTATTATGTCAATGAAAAGTGTCGGAATTTGATGTGGTCACTAGAAGAGAAAAGGAGGGCAATCCCTAGGGGGACTTGAGGAGGGAAACCTTTCTTTGCTTTCTTTGCTTTCTTTGCTTTCTTCTCCAAAAAACTTCCTCAAATACCTGGATGAAAGATGAGAAAAACAAAAGTGACATGTAAAAACAAAATGTAGCAAATAAGATATGATTTAGATCTGGTCTAAACTCAAAAAGATTCTTTTGAACTCCACTCACCCATCTCAAAGCGCTCCAAATCTTCGGCACTGCTTTATATCTCAAGCGAACAATTGTCGACTTTTTCGCGGTCATTGAGAAATTCGGTTATAAAAAATTTAAGCGAAGACTTAAATAGAAATTTTTTGAAGATAGCTAAGAATAGAGTTCAGTAGGTAACTTGGAAAATACTCTCAAAACCTGAATAGCCATCAAAAGTTCTTCGTTTATCCCTCCCTTTCCCTTTCTCTTCCCCTAGATCGGTAATTTTTTTTCCTCAGCTTTGTCG